AACATAAAAATCCTGTACCGTTTTGCGATATTCGTAATAATAAAATAAAGAAATTAATTGCAAAAGATTAAGGAAAATAGTGTGCTGAATGGTAGAGGACGGACCGCTCGAGTCACAGCGCAGCCCAGTAATATAGTGCGTGGGTGTCGCGCGTGGCGATTGGAAGACAATGCACCACTGTCTATACTTGTACCACTGTACTTCTACATTGCCCCTCGGTGCGGTGCGGCAAGACGTAAGAGTGCAGCGGTATAAGTATAGGCAGTGATGCGTTGTCTTCCAATCGCCACGCGTAGACATCTGCGCGCTATATTACTGGGCCGCGCTGTTACTAGAGCGGTCCGTCTTCTACCATTCAGCACGCTTTCCCTTAATCTTTCGCAATTAATTTCTCGATTATTATTACAAATATCGCAAAACGGTATAGGATTTTTATGTTTATTTTAATCCGCTCTATGTTCTCACGAGAGCTTCGTAGATTGTTCTGAGATACCCTGTATGTAACATCATCTGATCGCCGCGCCTGCGCACTACTGTAAAAATACACTCCTCGGACATCGTCCGTCCTTCCATTCTGGGACAAGCTCCTCTTACAGGCAGCATAGGGCGATTAGCAATATAGTAGTATTACATATATGGCGGTAACGCGTTCATCGTCGCCACGCCGCGCGCCGGAAGCATTAAAGCGTCAAGACGTTATCGCGACGGTCAGCGTGAGCTGCTCAGCCTCGACGCACACAGCTCGCCACGGAGCGTCTATGGGTCGCGATGAGCGTAATAAACGCCGAACTTTACGCGGTTATTACTAACAACTAGACACGTTTTCGCTAAATGGAAGAGGACTTTTCTGATCCACTCGCTTAGCTCTACGCCCCTATGGAGTTGGTGTGTTACAATTATCAGACACCCTGTATAGAAGTCTGTGGGTCAGACTATCGGCTAAGAAATGCTTAGACTACTACCGGGGGAAAGGGGGACGCTCCTGACGTCACAACTAAGGAGAGACAAGGATGGCGTTTGATAGTTTGTCTTTATCTAATTAACTTGACCCAAAACTTTCCTGCTTTTGCGTCCGCGCGAACAATACGCTTCTATGAGGCGTGTGTATAGACATACACTTACACACAGATGGCAATGGTTCGCGCTCTCGCCACACGAGGTTTCCAAACGCAACTCAGGATTTGCCTACGAATCCTGCAGACCTTTAATAATATATTTATTGTATACTCAATACACTTGTTCCACTGGCACACTTTATGTTACAAACTTTCGCAGCATCGCTATTAGTTAATACGACTAGTTATATTTTTGTTATTGCTTATCGAGGGATCTCGTATCCCTCGATAACTTAACGATAACTATATATATTTTATCGACATTTTTAACGACACCTATCGTTACACTCAATTATGGAATACCACTTTTCGTTATAGTATCGTTAAATATGCGTAACGATAAATCATGCTAGTGACATTGTCGTTAAGGAGTTACAGAATTCCAGTACAATAGTACAATGCACATGTTTCTCAGCTTTTCAGTATATCATCGTTTTGTCCCTAGTAAAAATTACGGACAGAAACTGACAGAAAACGCACCCTATCCGTTTCTGTCTGTACTATGCGTTTCTTGCATTGCAATTACGGACAGATACGGATAGAATATGTTCATAATCTATCGGTTTCTGTCTGTAAGAACGGATTGCAAACGGATAACTGTGATTTCCGTTTCTGACTGTAAATACGTACAGGCATCCTGTCCGTTCCTGACTGCAAATGCATCCTGTCCGCAAACTTCTGTCTGCAAATGGTATACGCAACCTGTCAGTTCCTACCTGCAAATACGTATACATCTTGTCCGTTTCTGTCTACAAATGCGTATACGCATCCTGTCCGTTCCCAGCAACACAAAATATTTATAAAACATTTACAAAATATTTATAAGATTTACTTGAATATTTTATAAATATTTACTAAAATATTTTTGTGACCTTTGATTCAATAGATGATAAATATTTATGATAAATATAAAAATATTTATTAAAATATATACATTTTTCTCTTTTCTTAAACTTTTCTTAAATTTTCCACTAGTATTTTCCAGTATTACTAGTATTTCTAGTAATTTTCAACTAGTAGTATTTCACACACTACTTAATTCAATGTAAATTGTACTTCGAAAATTTGCTTACCAATTGCTGAGATTCGAATCTGAGACCTCTGGTTCTTGAGTCGTTTACCTACTGCGCCACTATTACTTTGACTGAGAGACGCATCGTATTGTATACATATGGTATATCCATATACGAAAACAAATGATTTATTTAAAAGAAAAGAACAGATCCTTTTATATGGAAAAAGTATGTTCAAAAAGTATGCAAAAAGTATATTTAAAAAATATTTACTTGTTTTAAAAGTAAGTAAGTAAAATGCAAATAAATCATTTTGTAAATTTAAATAAATTCTTTTCTGATAATAAAAGAAACACAAAAATATAAATTTAATTTAAAACTTTAACTAGAAACACAAAAATATAAATTTAATATTAGAATAATATTTAATATTACTTTTAATATTAAAAAATAATTTATTTAAATGTATAACATGATTTACTTGTATTTCATTTACTCTTAAAGCAAGCAAATATTTATTTAAACACAATAGTTTTTTTAATGTAAAAATTGTGTTACTGACCCTGTTCTGAATACCGTTCCTGGTGGATTCCCGTTCGCGAATACGCGACAGGAATCGCTCCGCCATGGGCTCACGAATATGTGACGTCAATACTACAGTATGTTTGATAAGAGCGTGTACGGCAAAACTTTTTCCTCGAAACC